AAAAAAAAGCAATGAAATTTTTCCTAGTGTTTTTTTTTTTGGTTTTTAAATATAATCTTTGCCTACTGCGTTTACTATATGAACAATTAGAGCCTTAATTACAATCATGAAAAACATTTGCTAAAATTGCATAGATTGGTTGTGCAGCTCGTATGCAATATAATTGTTGAGCTTTAGCATTCTAAGAGATCAGTGTTAAATCAACAATTATGTTGACATCATTACTACTGACTTACTACTCCAACAGTTTTTTTATTATGAAAAACAAGTATTGCATTCTTTTTTCTTTTCGCCAATTTTAGAAGTTCTATAATCGATCGAATGAATAATATACTTATTGCACTTTGTGTTTTCTTCAACAATATGAAAAAGTTCTCTTTTTTCTTTTTCATTTTTTTCTTTGCAATCTTTATTTACATAGTTGTTTATTTTGCTGTAATCTTAATTTAAAGACTCAGAAATATGAAGAGGGTGGAAAAGAGTTGATTAATTGGCTTGTTAGTTGTTTCGTTTTTATGCTCATAAAAAGTTATCTTTATGGTTAACTTGTTGTTTGTTATAATAAACTTGTGTTACCTTTTTCTCCTTTTTTCTTTTATATATGACAAATATAATCTGCTTTTACTGTTGCAGTAATGCAATTCTTCTTGGTTCATAAGTAAAATTATTGCGACAATGTTTTTTTCTTTTGCCTTAATTTACTAATAGTAATAATGCTTTTGCTGTCAGTTAAAAATTGAGGTACTGTTACAGTTAAGATGTATAGTATAATGTTGCCCAGATTTTTTCCTTAATAATACCACTATGAGCAAACACGAAACGAAATGAACACAAATAAGCGCACACAAAAAAACAAATACACATTAAGGCACAAACAAACATATAAAAACACATAGTAGCTCAGATTTTTGGTTATGCATGCCAAAGCAGTGCTTGCTATATTTGTCCAGTTTCGGAGACAAGACGATATCGATGCCTGGTGACAACAGAAGAAACAAACCGATACGAGTGTTTTCAGACCCGTTACTGCAACATTTGTAATGTTAGATGGTTGTTTCTCCTCACTGTTTTCTTTTATCCCGTTTCCTTCAACACAAAAAATGTTGCTTTGATTAAAAATGAAAGTGGAGGAAAATGAGGTTTCTTGTTCTCTGAAATGTCTTATTTTACTGCTTTAGTTTTCCTTCTTTTTCGGCTCAAATGATTGTTTTTTCTTGGCCATTTTTATTGTCGTAAAAAAAAACAATTAAACTGGTAAACTTGATGGCATTTGACAACTCAACCACTCCTTGTACAAACATTCTTCCACATTCTTGAAAAACTTCATCTTACTGAGCAAATAAATGCTTCATTAGGCTGTTACTTTGTGCCAAATAGGGCTGTAAATGCTTATGAACGGTCGAATCATCCGGTCCGAAGAAGAGACTTCGAAAAAAAGACTTTTTCAGTAGAAGACGGTAAGATGATAATACTTGTGAAAGGAGATTAAAAAAAAAGAAAGTGTAAGAGGTAAAACACACTTCCTTGGCTGCGCTCACCCTCTTATCCAGAATCCCTGGTAACGAAAATACCAGTGATATTTCGCAACTGTTAAGTGAATACATTCAAAAACATGCTCAAATGCATTTTTATTCTTCCGATACTGTTTACTAAATTCCAAGCAAAAGTGAGCTTCACATGACTAAATTCAGCAATCAAACTTCCAGAAAACCAATTAATGTAGGAGCTTGCTTTGCAATATTCCTTTCCAAGTTTAGTCAGCAAGATAGGGGAAACCGTATCATCTTTTGTGGAACATTTAAAAGCCGCAGCATCAATTTTTTACTTGAGAAGCTCTTAGTTCGCAGCTTTAATACTTTGCGGAGCCGTATGGCTGTTGTCTGTGGTACTGCAAGGCGATATATATACGTTACTTTCTAAATGGGTATACGGACCCTAGCGGTACTGCAGTTAAGCGTGTCCACTTCAAAGTTAACTATTTTTTTGTCAATAGCCTACTTCCGTTTTTTGCTTAAGTCCTCAATCGTGGCAAATTCATTTCTGGAATTTTCAGACAAACCCCAGCACTTCCTTGCTTTTTGAGGTTCTTGTAGTAAAAATTTCAAAATTTTTATGATTTTAGAAGGCCAAATTTCATGTTTTGTAAAACAACAATTATACTGGTACCGCATTTATCGCATTTCTGACAGCCTGGAAGTCTAAAATTTGTTCTCCAAAGAAGTCTCATTTAAGGATTGGTTGTGTCTGCCTCGTTTTCTCACCAGTTCAAAAACACTTGCGTAATTGCGGTTTTTTAGCTCTTTACAAAGACTCCCGTGATCCAGTTCGTGAAATAATAGAGAAATTTTTGGGAATAAAATTTTTGAAATACAGCTATACATACTCGGTTTCAAAAACGTCTTCAGTTATTCTATTCAGAACTTAAAACTGCTTTTTAACCTCGTTCCACTGGCTTTCCAGAATGTTGCTATCAACCTCAAAAGGTTTTCCGTGCTACTAACTTGTATTAGAATCCTGATTTCTGATGGTAAAGTCGTGCACTTGCGAAGTAAACTGCGCATCTACCACAATACGCGCTACTGTTGACGCCGTCTTACAAAACTATACGATATTTATCAGTGCTGCTTTCTTTGTCTTTAGAATTTGAGAGGAGTGTGCGAGGACTCACCTGCAACTGCAATAGACGAGTAAGGCTAGACTAAGAACTTCAGGTAAAAATTATGAAGCTGAACTGGTAATGGAAAAAGATGAAGCTTAAGATGAAGATGAGGTCAAATCTTACTGCAGTAATATTCAGAAATCTTACTTGCCTTGACGCAAAAATTTTTTAAAAGTGATACGCGTTTTGAGTTCGTGATTAGTTTCTCATATTACCTCCTACACGCTACTCGGTGATTAATTAAATCACATAGAAACAAGCATAAAACTAAGCAGCAAAAGTGAGCAATCGCAAATACTCTTGCTAACAATCACCTGAGGGCCTCAATTTAACCTGTCCTTTAAAATGACAGAGATTGACGGAGCAGGAGGCAGGTCTTAAAAAAAAAAGAAATAAGTCTTCCCTACTAAACAAGAACTAAATAAAGTGTTCTTCTTTAAGGGATCGAAGACGAAAACATTTTTAATATTAAAATGCTAAATATTACTTCTGTAGTTGATGTATTTGTAAGATATCAGATTTATTAGTAGCCTAATTTTACATTGGAAAACTACCGAGGTTTTATAGGTATAAGATCTTAAATGAAAAAAAACTGGATTATATCCTATAAAGATTTAAAAACAATTCTACGGTAACTGTGCTTAAATAGCTAACCTTTTTCCAGTGACCAAAATGAAGGAATTAATGAATGGCAGTACTTTAAACAACATGAACACTCGTCGTCTATCTTTTAAATAGTGGGGCTTTACTATAATTTGTTAGCCTTCTAAGTCGGAAAAGTTCTCACCTGTGTTCCTGCTGACGAAAAACCTTATCAAGAAATATTATCAGCTATGAAAGCCTTTGAACAAATGAATGAATGAGAAAAGCGAACTTGATTAGTGGTACTGTTTGTTGACATAAGTAATAACTGAGGCAACGTGTGATGTCGATGTTTAAAAAATCTTCTGAGACTTATCTTGATTACCACATTAAGTTTATCCGCTAAAAACGCTTTGTTATAATGACAACGGCGAAGCAAGCTTTTAAAATGTTGGGATGTTTATCGCTATTTCCTGGTTTGTTTTGTAATAACATTCTTTCCACTTAACCCACATTTATTTACAGTGTTAGTGATGTTACTGCTGACGTATTGAGAGCACTGTAATCTACTTAAATTTTTCTTACGCTAAAAAGATATCATATGCATAACAAGTGAGTACCAAACTTATAAAAATTATGCGATGTTCCTAATTATGCTAAAATACAACGACTTAGGTTGCTTTAGTGGCTGTTTAGTATTGAGCGGTTACTGTCACTACTTTGCGCTGTTTTACTCAGATATTGCAAATCCATTTTTCGTTTAACTATATTTTGAAATTCTCTATGTAAATTTTGAGCTCACAAATGACAGCAAAAAAGTTGATTCATTTGGATTAAAAGTTACGCAAAACGAAATTTTTCTATAGCAGGATTAACTTCTTCAACAGTTTGAGATTCTGAATACAAGAATATGATCATTTAATCTAAAGTTGATGATTAAAGTGAAAGTATTTTTAGTTAATATTTCCTTTTATTTTTTGCTTGTTCTTTTGTTACAACGAAAAGCTTCTTGTTTTTTTGACTAGTCAACATTTCAAAATCCTCTTGTTGCGCATAAACTTTAACCTAAATATTTATAAGCCAGCAAGAAACTTTGTGAAAATGTGATTACTGAAATTATTGTTCTTTCACTGTGTACTTGAAACAGTTGCACTTTAAGCAGTTTTGCTACAAACAACTGTACCGAATCTATTTTGAGTCAATTTCATTCACCAGATGTCTCATTCGAAAAACAGTGATAAGATTATTTTGAGCAAATACTTTTTTCAACCTTCAGGATGGCAAACGGGGAACCACCAAAGACATCCAGCAATTACGAAGCGACTAATGGGTATGCGGAACCGGAGATGTCTGCAAATGACAAAGGCTCAGTTTCGTTAGAAGTAAGGATTTAAAGCATCGCATCTGTTACCTTAAACTGTTTTTCCAGTTCATTAAAAAAAAAATTGGTCGAAAGTCGCGAATTTTTTTTTCTCTTGGACAACACAGCAAACAATTTTCTTCAACGTAATCTGCAAATTTATACAGTAATTATTACTGCTAGACACATAACTTTCAAATTTTCCTCTATTTTTTAAACAAATTTTTTGATATTCTCAACCTTTTGCTCTAGATGAACCCAATTGATGATTCTGCTGGTAAAGAAGAGTTACCAGAAAAAACAGATGCAGAAGAATATCCAGAGCCGGAATATTTAAATGAAGAAATAACCGGTCCAATGCGTATAGTTGCATGGATACAAGAACATATCGGAGCAGTTACTGAAAAATATGGAACCCACATTAAGTGGGCTATATTCTTTGTTATTCTTGTGCTGTTTCACGTTTGGTTGGGTATGATTTATTTCCCTCAAATTTTCAGAAAAGTCGAAATTTTTTAAAACAAAATTGGTTGATGACAGTTTTGATGATCTTATTGATTAATATAACCAACAGTGTGTCACAGATGTTTTTCATTTCAAGTGTTAAGAATGCATCAAATATTTTTTATTTTTGTGATTTCAAAAGTTGAAATTAGAATAGCGTAAGCAAAAAAAAATAATAAAAAAAAGAAAAGAAAATGGAAAGAAAAAAGAAGAATCTATGGAATATTGAAATTATCATTAATTTAGGTTTTGCTTGTCACCGTTCTTTCGATCGTGGCGAAACTTTGTTAATCTTCACCTGTATTGGTTGGGCATTGACCATCTATTACTGTATTATCAAAAGATTTGTTGGAAAAGCCGTCTATAACTCAGTTATTAAGCCAAGTGTTGAAACTGGTGAAAAACTGTGGTCATTTTGGTTTGTCAGACTGTAAGTTGTTGTAAGTGGAAGTTTTTTATGACTATGAGTTAAAGTGCTTTCAAAAACTTTTCTATTCAATTTGAATAAACAGATATATTGATAACATCAAAAACCTGATTCGAAAGATTTTGAATTTTCTTTTGTAGTTGCAATTTTCAGGGGTTTATACCTAATTGTTATCGCAGCTATAGTTGCATTCATTATTGTTGATACCAGAAATGATAGAAAACGCTTAATCGGTTTGTGCGGTATGGTCTTCTTCCTAGCTTTTATGTTTATCATGTCTACAAATCCAGCAAAGGTGAGAGTAACGTTTAGATAAATGAATTACGTAGTTTGACTACTTTAGTTTTTCATTCTCACAGTTAATAATAACCAAAAAATAGAAAAAATTTTAAGAAGTTCACAGTAAAATTTGTTGTTTCGTTACGTCATTGTCGCTTGTATTATCTTTCCGGCTTACCTTACTTTTTCGTTATTGAAGAAGAGTCTGATAAAATTATTTAATGACTTTAAAGAGTCGTTTTTTAATTAGCAATACCGTTTTCTTAAGATTAACTGGCGACCTGTTGTCTGGGGCTATTTAATCCAGTTCGTTTTTGGGCTCTTAATTCTTCGGTGGAGTTGGGGCATGAAAACGTTCAGAAAAGCTTCAGATATGATAGTTCGGTTCTTAGACTATACAAACGACGGTACTGAATTTGTGTATGGTTTTTTATCTAATCCACCAAACATTTGCGGCATGTCGGCTGTCTTCGCCTTTTCGGTAAGTTTGACAATTACGTAACGTACATGCATTTTGCATAGTAGTACTGTCATTAGTTTTCCTAAATACTTCTTTTATCTGCACTGGTATGATTTGAAGTTGAAACTCACAAAAGTTTTTAGCTCTGAACACTTGATTTTTTTATATTTTATTTTAAACTTCACAAGTACAAGGAACTCACTTCTTTTATTTCTTTTTAGTCTATTCAAGTGGTCGTTTATTTTGGTTCTATAGTCGCGCTCTTATATTACTACGGTGTCATGCAAATTGTTTTAAAAAAAATGGCTTGGTTTATGCAAATTACCCTTGGTACTACGGCTACAGAATCGTTAAATGCTTGTGCCTGTATATTTTTAGGACAGGTAATCAAACTTTACTGAGTGACTACAAGATTTTGCAATCATAACAGTCGATTCGTGACATATCAAAGCTGGATGCAGTAAACGCTGATCTTTTGTGAAATAAAAGAACAACAGTTCATTTTCCAGCACTTCTACAAAAGATTGAAATTTTTCGTTCTTTTATGCTCTACTAATAATAAATTTTTTTTCTTTAAGAGCGAAGCACCTTTGCTGATTAAACCTTATATTGTTAAAATGACAGCCTCTGAAATCCACGCAATTATGACAAGCGGATTTGCATGTATCGCTGGTTCCCTATTTGCCGCCTACATCAGTTTTGGTGCTTGCCCGCTGTATCTGTTATCAGCAACATTTATGAGCGCACCGGGGTCTTTGGCTTGTTCAAAAATTCTCTATCCGGAAACAGAAGTATCGCAGGTTAGACGAGTTGAAGATTTAGAACTGCCGGCAGGGTAAGCATTTTTACTTGGTTTTATTCCAACATATGCTCTCTGTTAAGGTAAAAGACCGCTACTTTAACCAATTAGGCAGTATATAATAGATCAAGTTTAGGCAGGAGAGCAACGCATTAGAATGTATCAGCAACGGTGCTGTAATGGCTGTCGATTTGGTGCTCGCAATTGTGGCAAACCTAATTGTCTTCTTAGCGCTTTTGGCTTTTGCAGACAACGTCGTCGGTTGGCTCATGAGCCTCTTAGGTTATGAAGGATGGACGCTTGAAGTCAATATTGCCTTCTTTTTATTACAAACCGTTTAGTATCCTAAGTACAACACAGTTTAAATGGATTTTGCGTTTAATAATACCATAGAATATTTTTAGATATTTTTCAGACGCTTAAACAAGCCTTCTTTTGTTAAATTTTTTTCAATTACAGTTGTTTTTTCCTCTAAAAATCTTTTTCACATGTTCTGTAATTTAGAAATTACTTGGCTACATATTTTTCCCCGTAGCATACATAATGGGTGTGACGAATACAGATGAAACACTGAAGGTCGCACGACTTATGGGTACAAAAACAATTCTGAATGAGTTTATTGCTTATCAGCAATTAGGACAAATGGAACGCGACAATGTACTGACGGTACAAATGCTTTCTTTTGTTGGATTAACCTAAGTGTTAACCCTCCGCCAAAAATGAAAGTGAATCAGCATCACAAAACTTTTAATTTATATTTAATAAAAAAAAACAAAAGAAAATAATTTTAAAAATTTCAAATACCTTAAAACATTATGCACTAAATGAAATGGGGATTGTCAGGATGTTAATTCGTCTACGTTCTGAAAGAAGCGGTGAACGTACGTTTGAGATTGATGATGGAATGAATTTATTTTAGCCACGTGGTCAAATGATTGCCACTTACGCTCTTTGTGGCTTCTCGAACTTCAGCTCTATCGGTATTCAGTTGGGAGTTCTTGGCGGAATGGCACCAAGTAAAAAGCCATTGTTGTCAAAAATAGCTTTACGAGCTTTGTTAGCTGGATGTATATCATGTTTTTGGACGGCATCATTGGCTGGTAATTTTTTTCCTTCTAGACTAAAAAAACATTGACAGCGTATTCTGTTTACTTTGTACAGATGAGCTTGTTAAATCTGTCAGCATTATCAGTGATATGAATTGTCTCTGAACAGTAAATACATTAAAAGTTAATATCTAAAGTTAATTATTTTTACAAATAATTTATGAGAAGAGCAGCTGAGCTTACAGTAAATTTGAACAGCTTTACAAACAGATTTTTTGTTTTTCAGTGTAATCAAGAATTTTACGAGCACAAAAGTGTTGGAATCATATAAAACTTCAAAATAAATTGACATTTAGGGGCAATTTCTTTTTAAA